GAGCATCACTGAATAGACATTTATTGTTGAAATGCGCATCTGGAGCCGAAAAATGGTACCTGTAATTTTACATGTATTTTAAAATTCAAAACGTAAAAAATAATAATAACATACAAAAAAAACCCAAACGAGTTCATTTAAGATTCATCAGGTCTTAAAATAAGCAGAGGATGGAAAAAAATGCATGACTGACAGATTTTTAAACACCTAAAGCCAATAAGAAATAAAAAACGAAAAAAATCAAGGACGAAACGACGGATCTGTCGTGATCACATATATAAAAATATGAATGAAGTACTTTTAAAAATTTTGAATAAGCTCTTTAAATAACTATTTTTATTAACTGAAGTAAGCTCTTAATATAGTAATATTGTAAGACGAGATCAAATTTACTACATACAACATTTATATTAAACATGGTGTAGTGTTGTGCATAAGCAAAACCATCCTTACAATGATCTGGTTACGTGGGTAAGGTTACTTTGCTTGCACTTTTTCTCATTACCACAAAAAGAATTTAAAGAACATCTGTGATTCTTTTATCACAATTTCACCGAATTAAGAAAGTCGTGACCTTACAACAATCGTATAGTCAAGTTAATAACAATGATTAAACTTACTACCTACAAATTCTAAGATATATAACACATGGTGCAAGGGTTGTCGTAGGCAAAAAAATGCTTTCAATGACCGGGTTACGTAGCTAATGTTAAATACGGGTAACGTAGATGATGTTACATCCTACTAGCTCGAATTTATTTTCATTACCCCGAAAAGAGTTAGAAGCATAAAATTACAAAAGAAAAACGATTATTATACAGTTGTTTTTTTTTTAAATAAATATGCTATATACTGACCCATTTTGAAAGAAAATCAGCACGGAGTACAATAATTAAAAACACCAAACAAAACAAAAGCATGGTTTCAAATTTCGCTTCAATCAAATTTCATTTTCTCCTACAATATGTTTCTTTTTGGCTTGATACTAATTGTTCGTTTTGGAGATTAAAGTATACATATACAAGTGAACAGAATGTTAAAGAATACATCAAGATAAATATTCAAATTTTTTTAAATATACTTTGAAGGTTTCCTCTGATGATGGACTATCAGTCCCCGAGGGTATCATCAGCTGAATAGTCAGTACTTCGGTACTGACATAAATTATAACAAACCTTTGTAAAATTGTCTGTTTATAAATTTTGAAACTTCAAAGAAACTAAGGTTTCAACTCCCTCAGGAAAAGTTGACTTTAAATGGATTTGGCTATTTTTAGGTCCTTTTGGTTATATAGCTCTTCAATTGTTTTGGTTCTTATACATCCTTGGCTTTCAAGTATTCGTCTTTGAGCGTTCCTGATGAAGGTAAATCCAGAAAAGCGCTTCGGACGCATGATATTTATGACTTGTTGTTTTCATTTTTTTAAGGTTTCACAGTCAATTAAACGAAGTTAGATTTTAGTCATCATTTTGTTACAATATTTCATTTTGGTAGGTTTTAAAACTGTAATCTTCTAGAAGACATCGTGCAATAAAAATGCAAAATTAAATTTATATGTATTCAAAAGAGTCCGAATGTGTAGGATGAAGTTCGACATCAAAAATGTAAACCGGGCAATGTAGGACCCTATTCTAACAGTTCGTTCTTTATCTTACATTAAGAAGGGATGCAATTAATTATCGAACGGATGTATTAGAGGAATGTTAAAATCAAGCAAGAGCAAGCATGCTGGTCCCTTATTCTGTAATGTGTTGACCAAGACCCTGATAATTGAAGGAGACATTTTGTAGGGCACGTTTTTTTTTAAATTACTGAGGATCTGCTAAACCAGACATGATAAAACAATGTAAACAGCGTCAATTAACAATCGTCAGACGGAAACGTAGTATTGAAGGCTGTTAGCACTTTTACTGAAATAATCAACCTTTTCTTTCGCAGCTAATTGCGCCTTTTGAGGACATAAACGGATATAAGTCATGATCTGTACTTTTTAAAAGTTATTACATCTATATGTTGTCACAAGAAACTTTAAAATTCTTATACTTATTATAAACGGCATATTTGCCAAATGCACAAGTATGATATTATAAAATACAATCTATAAAATTATCGTTGCCTCGTAGAACTTGGATACGTTTTTATGTTTTATCCATAAAATTCTACTTTTACAATTTTATTCAGATTTTGAGTGTTTTTTTAATGTTACTTTTGCTGTAAGTCAACAAGATTTTGCAATAATCCGGTTAGTTTAATTGTCCTGTAAATCTTTCTGTTTGGCTTAACATACTTACTGCTTAAGGCTATAACATATTTTAAATTAAAATTCTGTACAGACTTATTCTGTTAATTACATTATATAAATAACACATAGCTGAGAGGGTGATAGAGCAGATTGTTACCTCGAGAAAACATTGTCAATTGAGGCCAAACCAAGGTTAACAATGTCTTTTCGAGGGGTAACAATCTGCTCTATCACCCTCTCAGATATGTGTTATTTAATTTATTAAACTGAATGTTATGTTATTACTGTCTATTACATTTCAAATTCAAAGTAATAAACTATGACGTCTTGTACATAACAACCATCCGTATTTAATAAAGCGCACACTTGATCAAGCGTCTCCGTGAAGGGTAATAGAGTATTTACCATAGGATAGAGTAAATTGTCTCCCTCGTATTAACCAATTAAAATCTGGCATTTTGACATGAAATATAATAAAAAATATTGTCTTCTGGTACCGTGAATGACGTAAACGTTGTTTATGATGTTGCTGTAGGGAAAAATCCATAGGTAGAGATTAAGGCGGGAGAAATCCGTTCGCGTCAAAAATGCGTCCTTTTGCGCCACTACTCATTTGCGCCAATGCTACATTTGCGCCAGTAGTTTTCAAAGTACATAATATCATTTGCACCAAAAATAAAGTATACGATTGCGCCAATTTAAAAAACAAACACTTCTCTCCTCCTTATTACAGGTAGTGGCGCTTCGCACAACACTTGACTGTTCCATCTGTAAATATTTCTTCTGATTGATTGATTGTTGGTTGCTTAACGTCCAGTGGCAATACTTCTTCTGCATCCAAGCTAAGAAAGTTTACGTTCGCTTCACAACCAGGAATCACAATGCCACTTGTAATATCATTTACTGAAAGAGAGTCTTCATCTTTATTTGTTATAATTCCAACTTCATGTAAAATTTCCTAAAACTCTTATTGACTTAATTTTTTACTGAGCCGGGTCTCTGAAAAGGGATTGTGTGATACATTTCAAATCATTTCTTTCTATGTGATCCTCTTCAATATCAAAATAACTCTGGGCAAAATGATCTTATACTTTTTATTGTATAATCACCTTTCATTTTATTTTTAAACAATAATAAATAGTCCCATTTATTACATAAATCGCACTTTTTAAGTACCTAAATATATCTATGAGTATTATGTATGATAATTTTGTGTAAAGATAAATTGTTGCATATGAATTCTTTATATTGGCGCAATTGATACATTTGAAAAATAATATTAGGCGCAAATGATACATCTCAAAAATAACAACTGGTGCAAAGGGACTGTTGCCTTTATGGCAGTATGATTTTATATCAGCAGGTTTAGCACTTTGAGTTTGCTTTTGAAACAGCAACCATTCTTTGATATGACATTTTTCATTATCTTTTTTGCTCGCACTTATTTTTATGTCGAATATTATACCGGTATTATAAAGTTAAGTGATTTTTCCGGTACTAATATTCCTCGGTTGACATAAACCGGTTCACATATATAAAAATATAAATTCAGTACTTTGAGAATTTCAAATAATCTCTATAAATAACCATTTTAGTCATTGAAGTAAATTCTTAATATAGATCTTGTTTGTAACTCTAGATCAAAGTTACTACCTTAAAAATTTATATTACACATGCTAGTGTTGTGCATAAGCAAAACCATCCTTTCAATAATCTATTTACGTGGATAATATTACTTTGCTTGCATTTTTTCACATTACTCCAAACAGAATTTAAAGTACATCTGTGATTCTATTATCACAATATCACCAAATTAAGAAAGTCGTGGCCTTATAAAAATCGTATAGTCAAGTTAATTACAATCAACTCAACTGATTTAATACATTTGAATTGAATAAAAAAAAAAAAAAAATCATCATCTGTAAATAAAACAGTCACACTTTAGATAAGTTTTCTGATTTTATAGTATAGCAGGGTAGATGCCTTCTTTATGTTTACCAGTTGTAACTCATTAATAGAAAAAAATATTTGTTTTGAACTGTAAATAGGTATAAACAATAGGATAATCCCTGACTAAAAACATGATTTACATTCATTCTTCACAATTAAGAAACACCAAATCCCACAATTCCATTGATCGAGAGCACTTTGATATATTCTAATATTTAAAAACAAATTAACAGTACGGTTATTTCATATACAATATTTGTACAGTGTAGAAAAATATAAATTTTTTTTGACGAGCTTTAGAAACAGAGAGAAAGGTGAGGCTAGCTTTTCTCCTGTTTCGTAGCGAGTACATATTGTTTTCACTCATAATATCTGAACAATTGAAATGGATAGACAGCAATCATACGAAAAAAATAAACTAGAACGTTTTACGGCAACACACAGTATTCAAAAATAGACAGATATCTTAACAATCTGTGGGGATATAAATCGTCCTGAGTTTATAAAAGTTATGAATACATTGATATTTGAAACTTTTGAAGATCTTTTTATTGACACCAAATTATCCAAATAACAAAAATACATAATGATAGACATACATGTAAGACAACCACTGACGGGGTTCTTGACTGGGTTCACAAATGGACTGTGTACAGGAGGGTTTGCTACTGTTGCCTTTATTTAAATATTTATTTTTGATTTGTTCTTTTTTATTTTTTAAGCAAGCGCCATTTTTGAATGTCTGCTTTAATTCATGACAAAGAAAAAATAAACAAAAAAAAACAGGTAGGAAAGATATACCACTTACCCTATACCGCTTGCGTCTATCCATTTTCAACAAAACGAGTTAAGTCGTACACAAATTATCACTATTCAATACATAATCCTTTTTTTTTTCGTAATATATATAATTCATTTGCATCCAAATTGCGAAATACTCTTTTTTTAAATCATGTGAAAACACCTTCACCTGTTTTTAACTGGATAGTTATAATAAGTAAATAGGGGCAAACTTTAAAGTTATGGGTGACTTGCTTCCTTTGTCGAGCTATTTAATGAACTGGAAATACTGTTTTATGTTATATGTACAAAGAATAGGTATGGTAATATTACTCGGGTACTAGGATGTAATTGTATTGGGTTGCTTTTGGTGATCAAAAGAATCGATATGTTTAGTTGTTGAATACTTTTTCTCGAAAATACATTAAATTATTTTCTGTCTCGAGACTCATAATAGAACGAATTAAAATAATATATAACTTGATTATATCATATTGTTTCCTATATTTCTATCCTGTTTAAGAAATTTTACATTCGTCCATATGCTTCCAAATGCCTCGTGTAGAGAGTTACACGCTCTCTGTACGTTAAGAAACCCTGCAACATCTCTTTCAGGGATTCGTAGGTGGCCTGTTGCAAGACTTAATTTCTGTCCCTATCCAATTTATCCTCATTTTCCAGTGACAGTTTAAATTTCACGCCCTTCATTTCGGTCGACCCTTTTTACAGAACCTACCTATTGTATATATTGTTAATTTGTTTTCGTCTTAAACATATGAAATATTTGCCCCTGGACGTTAAGCAACCAACCATCAATCAATCATAATAAATCTCAAGACAATCTCGCTTTCCTCGGTCAAAAATCTCAACCAAATTTTTGAATAATTTTCATTGACACGTCGTTACCTTCACGTTCAAAATATTTTTGTATGACAAGACAAATAAAAATCTCACAAAAAGATTGGAGGATTTAAACAAATATAGCTTCTATTCAAATCTTAAATTATCAGTTCGTATACAAGTTCTATATGTGTCATTGCGACAAAGAGAGTCATTCTTCAATAAATCCCATGGTGTTGGTAAGGTTAAATTTCATTTGTCAACGTTACGAAACCAATATATCCAATGGTGTAGGTAAGGTTAAATTTCATTGGTCAATGTTAACCAATGAGTCCAATAGTGTAGGTAAGGTTAAATTACTTTGGTCAACGTTATGAAACCAATTAATCCAATGGTGTAGGTAAGGTTAAACTTCATTGGTCAACGTTATGAAACCAATATATCCAATGGTGTAGGTAAGGTTAAATTTCATTGGTCAACGTTATGAAACCAATGAATTCAAACACTGAAAAAATCTATTGCATGACGTTGCAAGTATGATTTTGCTTTCTAAACGTCCATTTATTTATATGTCCAGGCAAGGTTGACAGGCTAATCTTTTATGGCACTTTTGGTCAGATACATGTAGCCTCTCACATATTGAAGTACTTATACATCCTTTGCTTTAAAAATAATTGGCTTCAGCTTTCCTGATAAAGGTTTATCCAGAAGACCACTTAAGAAGCACCAAATTTGTAAAGTGTTATTTTCATTGTTTTTCTCATGATTCAATTCATTTTAATGGTGTTTTTTACAGTTATTCTCATATTGTGCTGTATCAACACTCATTTTAGTTTGTACCAAGCCAAGAGGCAGATTAAGAACCAAAACACATGTAAATCCCTCAATATGCTTTATGTGCCTGTCCCATGCCAGGCGCCCGGAGACCAGTGGTTGACGTTCATTGCGGTCTGTTATAATACTAAAGTACGTTTTTTGGTTGTCTTATGCTACTTTCTAGTATAAGCTTAACTCAGACCGGTTTTGAATTCTTCCACATTTTGTTATTTCTCGGCCTTTTATAGCGTACTATAAAGATATCTTTTTTTCATTGTTGACGGCCATAAGACGACTTAAAATAACTTGGGAAAACATGGTTTATTTATAAGTTGTAATTCCTTAGAACTAGCTTTCATTAACTGCGAAGTTTTTTTTATTTCTGTGCTTTGTGTCTATTGTTTTTATGTAAGTGGTTTGTGTGCCTCATGCCGATCTTTTGATTTAATCCAATTGCAACCGATTTTTAGTTTGTTCTTATGTTGCATTGTGTTGTTACACCTCTGTCTCAAGTTAAGGGAGGGTTGAGCGCTTACAAACATGTTCAACCACGCCACATTCTTCATCTGCCTGTCCCAAGTCAGGAACCAGTAGTGAAGTGGTTATCATTGGTTGGTGTATGTCATATATTGGTTTTTCGTAAATTGTGTTGTTATTAATTAGCCCGTTAGTTTTCTCGTTTAAATTGTTTCACATTTTTCTTGTCGGGGCCTTTTTAAGCCGATTCTACGGTATGGGGTTTTCTCATTGTTGAAGGCTTTACGGTGGAATATAATTGCTTACTACCACTTCATCAAAACTCTATTGAATAGTTGTCTCATTTGGCAATCATACCTTCACTTTTATAGTTGTTTACATCAGTCCTCTGATTTTTAGTGAAAACTTGTCTCATTGGCAATCGTACCACATCTCCTTATATAAGTGTCGCTGGAATTTCTTATTAAAACATTTTTGTTTGAATTTGGAGGTAGAACTTTTCAACAAATTATCGGGATTCCTATGGGAACGAACTGTGCGCCTCTCCTTGCCGACCTCTTCTTATTTTCATGAGTCGGAGTTCCTTCAAACACTTGTCAAAAACAGGAAGATCAAATAAAATGGGAGAATGGAAATGGGGAATGTGTCAAAGAGACAACAAACCGACCAAAGAGCATAAAACAGCCCAAGGTTATCAATGGGTCATCAACACAGCGAGAAAATCCCGCACCCGGAGGCGGGCTTCTGCTGGCCCCATAACAAAAACAAAGACGCCAAATCATTTAATTTCATATTCAGATATATTGATGATGTTCTTTCCATTAACAATTCAAACATTTCTGATTGGGTTGCATTAATATATCTCCAGAACAAGAAATTAAAGAAACAACAGATACGGCTTCCTCCGCCTCATTTTTAGACTTATACCTCGAATTTGACATAAGCGGTCATCTCAGTACCAGAATCTATGACAAACGAGACGATTTTAATTTTGAAATTATCAATCTCCCCCACCTTTGTAGTTATATACCAACTTCACCTGCATATGGGATATACATTTCTTAACTCATTCGGTATTCAAGAGCTTGCAGCTGCTACTCAGACTTTATAAAACGTCACCAGTGTCTAAGCAGAAAGTTGATCAAACAGGGTTATGCCAAAGAAGGTCTCGTCCGTTTTCTAAAAAAGTTCATCGGAAGATACCAAGATCTTGTTGATAAATATTCCGTATCAACTTCACAAATACTACATGATGGTCTTGAAGTATAGATTCTAGGTACTGACGTTGTTTATCATCTTAAAAACGTGTTATAGTGTTCTTTTATTTGTCTTTGTAAATTATCAACCTTTACTGTTTATTCCATTTTTGGTAATATCCTTTTGACGTGGTTTAGTACTTATACATCCCGTCATTGTGTTATTGTGCTATGGTCATTTTTTGTATTCTTGTATTTCGTTTTTTGCTTATGTGCTTTGTCTGTATGCCAGTTTGTTTTTTCTTTGTTGACATATTTGTTTGTCTCTATAGTGATTGAGATTATAACACAATGTTGACCGCTGTACCCCTATTTTTGACATTTTTATGTCTGTTTGTTTTAATCACACATTGTTGTCAATATAAAGGAATTTTATGCGACTTTCATACAAGTGAGAGGTTTAGCTAGCTAGCTATAAATCCACCATTTTATACATAAGGAAATGTCTGTACCGTCAGGAATATGACAATTGTTTTCCATTCGTTTGATGTGTTTGAGCTTTTGATTTTGCCATTGAATAAGGGACTTTCCGTTTTGAATTTTCCTTGCAGTTCGGTATTTTTGTTATTTTTCTTTTTATAATATAACAGTACACATATTCCAAAAGTAAGAAAGATACTGAACAAAGATATTAATGATTTGCTTTTATTTAATAATCATATCAGTTTATATTTAGTTTTGTTTCTTTTAAATACTCAAATACCTTGTGCATGATAGTGCTCTGTCTAGATGATTTTTAATGTCCTTGTCATCGGGGTAGTATCACCTGTTGCACTGATCTATTTGTTGATCTGGACAAAGATCCCTGCTCATAAATATTCGTTTTGGCATTTCATTTCGTGTACAGTCCTAACACCTTCCTGAAGTATGAGCTGTTTAATTCTAAACAGACATAACAACAGTGGAAATATGTTCCTACGATATAAAACATGATTTATAGGCAATGAAACACAAGTTTAAACTTATCATGTGAATATCATTAAGGGAAGTATTGGATTTCATTTATCAATGAAACAGCAACCCAATGAAAACTTTAAGACATATATGGCAACATTCATTATAACATGGTATAGTACCGCAATAAAAGAAAACTTCATCAGAGAAAACATTGTCATATGTAGAAATACTCTTATGAAATACGATTAGAACTTGGTTAAATCTAAAACTAGCTGTGAATGTTTAAAGTAAGATACACGTATAACAGTCTGTAGTCTATTTCTCCTGTATCTGACAAGAACAAATACTTTATTTTCCTCTGTCAAAAATGTTACATGAGTTCAATTCATACAAAGTATATATATTTAAGTGTAAATACTTTATATTTTATAACAAATGAATTATTTTCTAAGAAAAGTAATATTTTCTTATATACCTGTATATTACAATCTATAAGTAAACTAATCAATTTATATCTTGAAGGATAATGTAAGTAGTAAGACGGTATGAAATCTTGCCCGAAAATGTGCAATCATAGGCTGTACACAAACAAACAGATAAAGGTATTCATTGCCAATATTCTGGTTTCCAAGATGACAAATCCTATCTTCCTTTTTCAATCGAAAATTTTAGATTTGCACATATAAATCTGGCCATGTTTATCCTATCAGTCTGTCCAAATCTTGAAAGATTCGATTTTAATTGAAACAGGGTTTAAATCTTGATAGATGCGGTTTTAATTGAAACAGGGTTTAAATGAACCATATAATTCTCTCGACGAGTTACTTAGTTGCAGGAATCCAGTGTTCTAGATTTTGATCAACAAGTTGTCTCTTTCCCAAGACATTTCAATAATTCTCTTTTAATAG